GGCCCCGGGGCCTCTCAGGCGCTGGGCGGTCAATATTAGCGTTAACGGTACCCGCCGGAGGCCGGGCCGCGACAAAGGCGCAGGCGAGGGCCGCGCTGCCTCCCGCCCGCCCCGAGTGAGGAGCTCCAGGAGGGGCCCGGGGAAGAAGTGCAAAAAGTGCAAAAAATGGGGTCAGGAAGGAGCGTTGCGGGGGGAGGCTGCCCGTGCTGGGAGCCTGACAGCCCCTGTGCCCCCTGAAAGGCTGAGAGAGGAGCGATGCCCTGGGGCAGCCGGGGAACAGGGTGCCCAGGGTCTCCCAGGGCACAGCCACCCCCAGCTCCAGGGGGGTACAGGGACCATGACCAGGGTGGTACGCAGGAAGAGCAGCAGTTTTCGAATTACCATCACCATTTTTAATAGGGTTAAAACAAATATTTTATTCTTTGACTTGAAAATAATCCAAGTGCACACATAGCTATGTTAGATTTTCAAAGAATGAAATTGAGCTGAAGTGGCAATATGAACAACAGCAGATAGGTAACGAAATAGTGGGAGAGAAAATCCTTTCCTATGTGTTACACTTCCAAAGGCAACACTGTCTGCACAGTAAAAACTACTGCATTTTCTCAACTCCTCCACACTACTCAGATGACACTGATGCATTCAACTGAAACACAGAAAATTTAAATATTTCCCCCCCAACATTAGTTTTCTTACAGGCGAGAAGCAAGTGGAAGGTAAACATACGAGAGTATGCACAGTTTTCAAAGTGTAAAGTTAAAGTTTGCAGTTATATCAATCCGGTATCATTCTTCATCTGATGCAATGCATCCCACTCATCTTAATATACTAAGATTATGGGACAACAGGATTAAATGCTGTTACTTTGGAAACATACTGAAAAACATCCAAGGGAGAATGAAATTTAGAGGACAAAAATAAGTGTGTATAAGCCACGTGCATTTAGAAAATGCAAACGCAGTATGTTCTGAACTTCCCTGAAAAATAGTGCAATTCAGTGTATATACTGAATTAAAGAGGTGGCATATTTCTTTCTTTGAAAAAATACTGTTTCTAAAAATATTTAGATGTCCTCTAAACTTTGACTTACTTTATGGAACTATAGCTTTAAATTTAGTTTCATATGCAAAATATTTACACTTTATAAACTTGCAGAATTTCTAATAAACTATATTATATATACACTTACACAAAACTTAAATTTATACATAATCCTATTATATTTTGCAGATCAAAACTCACCACATGTACAATAATTTACAATGATCGAAGCCGCAAGCATCAAAACATCTCCTTTAAAATAACAATATTAGAGTCCCCTACACATTCTGAATTGCAAAGTTTCCTGGTTTGTCTGAATTTCATTAAAACCTCTGAGAAAATGCAAAACATTAATTAAATATCAAGTAGCAAGTTTTGTGCTGTCATAAGAAGTGCTTGCAACTATTAAAAAAATACCTGAAAGGAGAAAATGAGAAAGGTTTACAAGAAGCCTCTGAAATGAAGACTTCAAGCAAGAATTCACTGAAAGATTCAATGTAAGTGCACATACTGTATGTCAATCCTGTATACTGAAGTCCCTTTAAACACTTAAGAATAAATTCATTAACCAAAGTTAAATATACATTAAAAAGTAAGCTATACATTTACAAGTTTTCAACAGTATTTGTATCTGAGAATTTTTGCCTACTTTGGTATAAAAGCTGCTCTAAATAGGCACATTTAATTTTAGAAGACATGAACAAGCTTTAAGACAATTGCTGTTGCTGGATATTTAAGCAATGTCTCTGCGAGTCTGCTGTTAGTTATAGAAGCTTTTTTGGGAAAATCTTCTTACTCTGTTTAAATCCACAGAACCAATACAGCCAACACTGATAACCTGTGATGCACTGTAATGCTGAACAGTTAACCAAAATATGACTTCTGAGAATCCAGTTCCATTTTTGTGTTTAAAGAAACTAATATAAAATTTTAATTTGATTGATACTTAGAAATTTGAATTGTTTAATTAGAGAAATCAGATAAATTCCTTCCATATTTTCATTTAAAACAAAAATTAGAATCATCATCTAACCAGAATATTTTAACACTTGTCTGAAATCTTAAGATTTTGTTCTTGTTTTAACTCCACAGTCTTATTCCTACAAGGATCACATACCTGTCTATTTTTACACAATGTGAAAATTGATACCAGTTCCTATTGATACCAATATGCTTATTCATAACATGTAAGGTTGAGCATGAATTTCCTTGCAAGAATAAGACCTATCATAATTAAAGCAATATTATAGAAAATTAATTTCGTTTCAACTGTACCAGACTTTCCAAAATACCTCTTAGAACTCCACAACTAGACGTTGGTTATTAATGCTCCCCATCCACAGGTTCTGAAAGGCACATAATTAAAGAGTTGGTTTTGCACATTTTGAAATCCTCCTTAAATGAAGGCAGTCTAAAATATTTTGTGTTAGGACACAATCCAATGTAAGGCATTAAAACATTTGTCTTTATATTACACATATATGCTAATCACCTCTTGTTATTACAATGTACAGAAAAGCCAACATTTTCCTCAAAAATGGGTTTGTACATGGGACATCATTTGTGAGGGAGACGCTGATGAGGATGATGAATTGGGTATCTTAGAATTGTTTGTGATCTGTAGTTCCTCAAGTCTCCTCATATAATCATCACGTAATGCAAGGAGTTCCATGTAACGCTGCTCCACTGGATTTGGCTGCTAGAAAGAGATTCCAATTAGTCTTTTATCACTTTCATACAGTTAGGGTTCTATCCTGCATTTGCAATTTCTGATGTATCTATCAAAGGCTGGCTAAATAGAAATAGCTATTTCTATAATGCAAGAGCATTATATTTGAGCCTCCTGGGTTCAAATTCTCCTGATCCAAAGAAAACCTTGCTTTACATAAATTATATCTTACTGTCTCAAGAAAAAAAAAAAATATCACCAGCACAATTTGTTCTTTAAGCATAATTTCTTAATTACCTAATATCTTGTACAAACTGGGTACAAACACAGACTTTTTATCTTTTCTCTTCTTGACTTCAAAACACATTAGATTCCAAAGGTTAGATGCCTCAAACTAGTTTAGACACACTGGTCATTTTAGCTATGATGATCAGACTAAGATTAAGATATATGTCTTCAGATTAAGTAGTTTCCTTTACAAAGTTTTCACTAACAACTTTGCAACTAGGCATAAATAAATCAAATGCAAAACTATCAGTGAAATCTGTAAGTAGACTTCAATGTCTATAAAAATGTACTGCCCGGGCTTTCAGACTTTTCATATCAAGAGCAGCACAACTATTTCCATTTTAAACTTTAATTTTCACAGAATGAAGAAATGGTGAAGGGTTAAATACAGAGCCTTAGGTTACTTCCAGCTGCATTTCTCCCTCTCGAGTAGCTCCTGCTCTTTCACAGATAACTGCTTGTAACTTAACTTCATCCTCAGTATGGTTTCAGCAGCAAACAAGCCCTCTAAGGAGCCCAAAGCAGGCATAGCAAGGCCTCTTACACACACCTTTCAATATAAGCCCCATCTAAGGAAAGCAACAAATGTGGATTCAACATCTATAGTTGCTTCTCTTTAGTAACATAATTGGAGATACAAAAATAATGATGTTAATTGTAACAGATTCTTCTGTAGACTAAAGTCTGATGCTCAAAATGCTTCTAATAAGTTCAGGCACTTAAAAACATACTGCTTTATCTGTACTTACAAGCATTAGAGGAAGTTTTGCTTAATTTTTTACATCCAAGAATGGTGAAAAGACAAGAATCTGTGGCTTCTGCCACAGAAGATTAATAAACATGTTTACATTTCTAATTACAAGCTTCTACCACCAAACACCTGAATGAAGAACATTTTAAAGTAGATTTAGAGCTAATTTGCATGTTCTGTAATCCTTCATTTTCTAAAATAAATCCTTGGTTTCACCTCTTGCAAAATGCCATCATCTTTCACAGCAAGCAACAAAAACTTTAAAATGAGAACTTCAAATTAAAACTGGCAATATACTTAAAAGAAAATACAGTATGTCTAGCTTTCTTCCAGACTCTAGAGTTCTGTAAATAATACAAGAGATCAACTGCAGAAGAGGAACTGCACTGCTTGGTAACTCTCAGTTTACTCCAGGGGTTGGATTCTGAGTAGTGTTTTGTCAAGGAAATTGCTCCTCTTTCTTCTCTTACTCAGAACTCTACAACTTATTAAGGAGGATAAACTCTTTGCATACTGTATTTTTACATGCCCCACTGCCTAAATTTTTAGCAAATTTACAAAAAACAAATGTCCATATATCAATTACATATTAAAAAGCACAAAATTGAACTGTGATTCGACAAAAGCTTCTCTGATTTTCCCATTTTATCTATTGTATGATCAATAGGAACTTTCATTCAGTGGGTACTCTGTATAAATAATTTGGGTAAAGTTCTAGAAAAAAGATCTTGCCATAAGCCACAACACAACTGGCATTCTCATTTATTTTAAAAGTAAAAAAATAGTGCATACATCACCCTAATTTGTAAGACTTTTTACTCTTTCCTGGAAAAGGAGGAGAAATCCTAGGCACAGGTGACAAGTGTGCTTGTGATGCCAGCACCGAGTCTCCAGTGATCAACAAGCTCTTGCTCAGCAATGGCTATTCACCTTCTTGTATTATTAAATGCCCTTAAAAAAAATGTCCCTCACCTGGAAAGAAGCTATAAAAGTCTTCAAAGACAACTTCATAGCAAACAGTGAAATAAGCTCAATGTTCCAAAAAGAGTTGGGTGACACCAAAGAACAGAACTAAATAATCATATTCACTTTTCTCTCCCATCCTTAGAAATATAAGATTAAGAAATTCAAGTAGGTTACAGATACTATCCTATTTCCAAAGTCTAAAAGCCTTCCATACATTTTAGATGGTTCACTTACTTGTTGCCGAATTCTTGGGTTCCATCTGATGTAATAATTGACCCAAAGTTCTAGGTGACGCATGCTGGCTACCGGATACAGCGCTCGATTTAGCTCTTTAGTATAAAAAGGATTGGTGAATTTAGATTTTTCACTGTTTATCAAAGACCACAATGACAATGTTTTCTCAGTCACTTTCTAAAACAAAAATGAAATATAAACTGTAAATATTTGCACAGAATTAGTAAGTCCATCTTAGAAACCATGATTATGTTCTAGAAATAGAACACTTTTGATTCAGTTAAAAGCGTAAGTTACTGTATTAGAAACATGCCAAAAAGTTCCTGACAAGTATTTTAGTAACTGTATTGTCTCTAAGCTATCAAAACCACACAAATTACCATTCAACAGCTGCACAACCAGAAAAAAGCTAAAATAAAGCAGACTGTGGCATAAGGAATGTAACTGAAGCTTTCTGTAATCATCTGGAGCCAACACAGCAATGCAATCAATGCAAGTAAAAGAACAGTGGTTTGACTGACCTCTTTTTCTCTAACAAATTCACTGTTGTACAAGAAAGTACCAAATCGGCAGCTGTACAAGTGATCCAGGATTGTAATCAAGAATTGCTCATTGAATTCAAAGGCTGTAGGAAACTAACACACAAAAAAGACAAGCTTTCTTTAGACAGTAAAAGTACAGAGATACACGTGCCCTGCTTCAGGGGCTAAAAAAGCCATTTAGAACCTTAGATGAATCTAAAAGTGAGGTTTAAGCTAATACTTTTACATGTACTTTTTAAAGTAAATGTTCAGGTATCATGGTGTTCAATCTCCTCAAACTAGTCATTAACAAGAATTTCCATCCTCTCAAAAAACTGTATCTAACTGCCTTTAATTCCCTTCTCCTCCCCCGCAAAACCCACAAAACTGAATGTTTACAGTTCCATTTATAGTAGTCAGCCAGAATACTTCCCCAAGAACACAGGCAGACTGCATTCTTAATTCTACAAGGCTACATAGGAAGATAAGGGTTTAGTTCGTGATTAGTTCCTAATTCTACGCTCTCAAAGTACTAGGTTTGCTACTGTGGTTACTTTCTGAAACAGTATGTTTAACTCTTAGCACTTAAGAGCTCTCAGTTTTCCTTCTCAAGGGCCGATGAAACATAACTTGTTTTTGTACTTCATGGAAAAGCTTCACTAAAATGAAATGAAACACTCCCTAAGAAGCTCAGTCACAATTCCTGTGAAGGTATTTTGCTGGGCCACACCTGTAAAATCATTAGAGAAGCATATCTAGAACATACTCATCCTCACATATCCCCAATGAAATAACCAAGGATGGCATGCTTAAGAAGTGCTACTTCTAAGGTGTCACAGCAAATAGACAGGTATGCTTTCCTCTAGCAATATACTTTTATTTATAAATCAGGTTTTGAAGTCACACTCTCCTAATATTACCTGCTAAAGAATATTATAACCTACCTGCTTAGACATCTGCCACACACAGTCAATATACTGGAGAAAGATGGGTGATCTGTCTGCATCAGCATGATTTTTATCACCATGGCCTATTCTCTGAAATGGAGCAATAAGGCCTCCTGTTACTCAAACAGTCTTTTTTATCACCAGTAGACACTGTTTCTCATTTAAGGCTTCTAGAGCAATCCAAACTTTTGATTTCAAAATTAGTTACCACACCAATCAAAAGAGATTCGGATGCATGCAAGCATGGCAAAACTATTCCAAAAGACACCTAGAAAAAAGCTCAAGATAATTAACTGCCCCCATGTATATACACACACCCCTATACACCAACTTAAAATGACTCAGATGCTTTTATAAATACAAAATAAAGCATGAAATATACACATAGGTATGTCTTCCATTTCTTGATTTTATCATATTGCCTCTTTTTCTGTTTGGGGAAATATTAAGTAATGTCTCTGGAATGTCCTCGTGGGGACAAAATCCTTGGTACAAATAACTTCCACTGAAAATGTGGAAACTTCTCACTGAGGGTTACAAAGGTCAACATTAAATCCAGTGCTGTAAAACTCCCAAATCATGCTGTGCATGTCCACACCACAGCACAAACTCCCTGGAAAGACAACCTGCCTCTCCAGGCCCTCATGTAGATTTCCTACTTCGTCCCTTGGAATATTTGTTTGAGAATTGATGCTTAGGAAAGATGTTAACTGTCATTTAACAGGGATATGAACAAAACTTGAAAGGTGATTCTCAATTGAAGCAAACTAACTTCTTTCCTTTAGACAGAATTCCCATCGGGGAGATATATTAAGGACTTGTAAGAGGCATCTTTCATTTAAACTTCCGAGTATCTGAAGTTGCACAGTCCTAGCAATTGTATGCTCATTCTCACCGATGCAAATTTGTGTCCAAAGCTTATCCACTCCTTTTGCACGAGAACTTCAAAACCTTCAATGGTTCTGTAGTAGCTGTCTAGCATCAGCATGGCCAGCGACGTGAGCTGCGCCGTCCGGTCCCAACCATCGCTGCAGTGAACTAGCACAGAGCTCCTTCCAGAGGACACCCTGTCTGCCACTTGAATAGCTCCTGTTAAGACCAGCTAGCAAAGAGGAACGGACATCAAGCAAGTAAGAAGATTAGTGTTATTCTACCAAAAAAAAAATTTAGTCCTTTATTAGTAATCATTAAGTGCAAAATAATTTTATAAGAGAGAAGTAATTTCTTCAATACATCTCAGTTGTTCAGAAAAGGAAGTAGCAGCCTTCTAATATATTTTATAAACATTAACTTATTTTATAAACATTAACTTAAAATTGACTTTTCGAATAAGACTCATTACCTAATACTTTAACACCCTTGCACAGATATACTGGAGTTAAAAGGTTCAAAGATAAACTAGTAAAAACACTGCTGAAGTACAATTTAAATAAATCTTTTGCTTGTACTGCAAGTCCAAACTTACAAATAAATTTACAAGGTCTACAAGAACAAATTCAAACAATGTATATTGACATAAATGCTACCAACTACTGATTCTGCAAAATACAAGTTTTCCGTGTTTCTATATTGCTAGAACACAAAATAAATCAACAGTTCTCACACATGTAAAGAAGTACTAGTAAAGCATTTCTATCTGAAATATTGATAACACATGAAAATAGGTAGAAAATAAATGTTACTTAGCAACAGTAGGCAGAATTTAATGATATCTCTTAATACACTCCAAAACTGATTTTTTTGTTGTTGTATTGGGTGATAATACTCAGCAACACTCATCTTGCAGTCCATAAGGTATTCCCCACCATATATTGTGATATTTTCACAATCTCAAAATCTAATGAAGAAAGCAAGTCTGATATATCACATTTGGAAAAGCATTATTTCAATGAAATAAAATTTACCTTTATGTGTTCTAGCCAATGGGTTGATTCCAGACTAGACAACCAGTGTGATTCTTCCACATTAGGATAAACAATGTCTTTCAACTTCTTTAAAGATTCCCGCATGACATGAATATTATGAATGTCCAAGAAGAAGAGTTCTGCATTGGGATATGCATCTTCACTCTCATATCCTCCACCAGTTGCCTAAGAAAGAGAGACCTGAAATTAGCTTTAGTGATATATAGGCTGTTGTAATAGCACTTCTGAGCTAGAAGGGATGGGAAATTTTTATATAGTCCAACTATAATTTCATTCGCTTATTTAAAGTCTCAGAAACAAGTCTGAGATGCAAATATTTGAGTAAAACAAGTACTTGGGGGCTATGTTTTGTGCAAAAGAGCAACGTACATTAAGCATAGAAGATGGCACAAAGTCATTCAAGCTGTCCCATCTACTCTAGTTCTATTAACACTAAAAAGGAAAATGAACACATTTTGGTAGCAGATTGGCACAGACAGTCTGTGAGATTAAATATCTAGTCTTTTGCTATATTTACTATGTTTATATACTACTAGAGAAGAATACTTATCTATATATCCAAGTTTCTGCCCATAATGCTCTCTACAGTGCAAGCCCACAAAACTAAGTATTTTCTCTCACTTACCTCTCTTCTTCCTCAGATCTCGTTAGGTCTGAAATAGTTTGTGTAACATGAATGGAAGAACCCAACTAAGGATGCCTACCAGCGGACAGTGCTTTACATACACAGGCTCTTCAGAATAGAATCTGCTTAAATAAGGAGAGCTGGGGCTTGTACTGAGTTGCCAAACACGACTACCAAAAACGCTTACCTTGTTGGCGACTGCATTGACGCTGGGCCTAGCATCATAGATGGTCAGTTTTGAGATCTGCCCGTTAGCCTCCCTGATGATATCAAGATATCTTTCATCGTCTTTATTCCGCTTGCCACTCATGCCAACGAGGGGCTGACTGCAGCGCATAATAACAGCTTGATTCTCTGGATGAATCCATGACAAAACCTAGGTACATGCCAAGAAAATTATCAATAAATAGTTTCTTGAAAGCTATACATTAAAGTTGGAATTTACATTCTTTGAAATATGGAAATTAACACATTTTTTTCTTCAAAAGAATTCTCAGACATCTCAACTTATTCCCATTTAGCCCTATAAAATTTATTAGCATCTTAAAAAGAAAGTTAATTCTCTTACATATGCTACTCATTGAAGTTGTATATGCTTACATGATCTAGTTTATTTTAATAGTTTCTCTGCGTCTCAGGTTGTACAAGAAATTATGAAACAGCAATCTGCAAATATGCAGAGCAATGCCTGCCAAAACTAAGAAACAACTCAGAACTTAGGAACTAAGATGTTCTAATTGAACAAGAGAACTTTCTCCTTTTTGGGATAAGGAATTAAAATTCCTGCAGCAGTCTGATTATCTCTCCTTCACTTAGAAATGCCTTTTGTTTTCCAGTCCTCTTTACAAACAGTAGCTAGTGGAGCAGAGTGCATACTGTCTTTTTTGTTTTTCTTAGACTGAAAGGACTGACCACAGCATGACATAGTGTGCAACCCAGGAAACAGATTAAAGCACAAGAAATTACAAGACTGCCCAAAAACCAGTCCCCAAAAAATGCAGCTTTATAACTCTTAAGCAAGCAGATTCTCAGCAATTGATAAAATTGTGTGTCAGACTTCAAAAAAGTCTTCAAGAAGTATTCACTATTGAAACAGATCGCTGGCTGTGCATCTATACACCAGAGCTGCCAGTTTGCATGATGGCCAGTGACCAGTTATTTCCTGACTGGAATAACATTACTGTTACTAAGGAGTTGATTCACACTATACAGATTATATAAAAGCCTTGCCACACAGTTGGAGATGATACACCCAGCTGATAAACACGGGCATGTAAATGCATGATAACCCTACCTTGTCAGTAAATAAAATCTAGCAGGTATTTCACATCACATTTGTTTGAAAGTATTTGAGAATCTTCTTCCTGACACTGGCTAAGAAACAATCACCTCTTTCAAGTCTGTCGAGTTAAAATTGATTAAAAATGGATTGTACTGTACTAGAAATTAGTTTTATGCAGTGCTGTGAAGAGTTTATTTCCAGATCTGCTACATAAAGATATCTCAAGGAATTCTAGTTACAGCAGGGACACACCCAAAAAAGTTACAAGGATTTATTTTCAATTCAACACTATTCAATAATTTATAGGAAAAAAAAAAAAAGGAATTCAGGACACAGACTAGAAAGGAGGTTTTGTTTTAGGACTGACTGTGGGAATAACAGTTAAGTCAACAAACGACCACAGATGGCAGCCTAAAACTCATACTCCATTAAGAAAGAGGAATCTGCAGCACTAGCAGTTGTTACTAGAAAAGGAAAATTAAAGTCAGAAATGGAAATGGCAAGGCTTGGCCCTCATACTAGTTTTGAGCAGTAAAACCAGCCTGTTCAACCTATTTAGTTGTAACCAAATCCAAAAAAGCACTGTGCTGTGTTCAGCGGAGCATGGTTTCTATGCACGCTTCAAACTCCTTCCACAGTAAGACAACCTTTATTATATAATACTCACAGGGATTCTATTTCGGGATCTAAAGGCAGCCACTTTCTTGAGGTCATCGTCCGTTGCATTATATGGCACTACTAAGAGCGATGGATACGTGTCACACAGTCCATAGTGCTCATTAATGAAAGTCACGCGCCACCGTTCATTGGGCAGTCCCTACAATGCAGCAAAAAGCTGTTCAGTTCATACAGCCAAGAATACATTGAACCCTGTTCTGGAATTTAACGTGGTATTATGGCCACATGGTGGCAACAACGTACCAATTTAACCTGACTAGCTGAAGTAATGGTGATTCAAAACAATAGAAGAAAAGATGACAAAAATCACACAAAACAGCACTCTGCTGATACGCAACAGCTATGCAGCTAGAGCAAATCCGCTGCCTTACACACAACTGTTTTCACTGCAAGTTTAGAAACTAGCAGATGCTTCTTTAACCCTCAGATGAAGGTAAGAAAATCATTTTCCCCTCCTCTCTCAAAGCACCACCTTTCCATTCTGCTTTCGGAAAAAAAAAATTAATAAAGATTAATAATGAGAAAGCCCTGAAAGAAAGAGGAAGCCTGACTATAACGTTTTCTTCATTGTAGTCTGATATTGTCCCAAGTTTAAAACCAGGTTAAAAGCAGCCTTTTCACTTAAAAAAAACAAACAAACAAACAAAAATCCCACCACACATTTCAGTTGTAGCTGAGGAAGACGTTTCACAAATTGCAGCCAAGAAATTCAGAGTGACAAGCTCTCCACACACTTAGTGGGGCTTGGGTGGGTGTATTTACTTTTTGGAGGGTTCTTGGGCCCCCTAAACTTTGAACCAAACAGGTTATGTGGAAGTCTGGATACACCTTAGTCCATTAAGAATTATGGAGAAAAAAATCCAAGGAAGTTCTTATTATTTTTCATGTAAACTTTTTTGGTATTAAATGTATTTTTAATATTTTATTTTAAAATATTTAAAGCACAGTAAAGTTTGCAGATCTTCATCCTATTTCACTAACTTTTCCACAACTGCCAAAAGATGAAGGTAGCAGACTGGTAGGCATAGAAACATCTCTTTATAGTAATTATTTATATAATAAGCTTTTTTTTTAAAAAAAAAAAAACAGCTTCTGAAAGAATCAGACTATCAACTTTATACTTAGGATACTTCAATTATGTATTTGTCACATTCTTCCTCCTCCCTGCTTAATAGCTGCAGTCTGAAAGGTATCAATAACTTCTCTCAAAGAACAGAAGACTAACTTCCTGTGACATTCTCATTTCCTAACTTAAACGTTCCATGTTTGGTTTTTTTTACCTTGTTTTTTTCTTTGCTCTCGCATTTCTATCTTCTCCATTTCTCAGCTTTCTCCACAAAGAGCTGGTAAGTTAAATACTTAAACTATAATGGCAAAACTTTCAGATATGAAAACACTGAGCAACTGTAGCTTTAATAACTTACTTGTCTCCTGTATTCACGCATGGGATTATAGACCATCCATCCATTTTCAGAAAACTTCTCTTCATTTGCAAAAGCAAAAAAAGGCTGTAAAAAGCAAAAGGAACTTATTACACCAAATTCCAACAAACTATGAGGGTTCATCACCAATTATGCCCCAACAGCTGCCACAAAACAGGACTCTCTATCCTGCTAACTCCATCCTATCAACTTAAACCTGATACAGAAGAGCATAAAAAAGAACAAAATATAATGAACAATACAGATATGATAGTCAAATACTGAAAATGAGTCTGCTTTGAAAACAAAGTGATAAACACATAAAAGTCAGAAAGTCTAAAATGTTGTGGGAGTTGCCAGGAAGCTGAAGTGTTATAAAATGGCTTTACCTATTTATTCTCCATACTTCATTTCCTCCCCCAAACAATAGCTCTTCAGTAGGTACAGCTTCTAACATTATGCAAAATATTAGATGCTAAATGGAAACTTTAGAATTTTTAATTCCTATTCATTACCATTAGAAGGAAACATCTTTCTGCACCCCATGTCCAATTTATTCTCACTTACAAAAACTTGATTTACTGTAAACTTGAGTATCAAACTGTCAATGAAAGTGAAACAAAATACGATGTTGATGGGTTACACTATCTATTTCTATTGTTTTGTTGTCCCGTCTTCAGACTTACTTATATCCATTACTGAATCCTCACCCAGGATTCCTAAAAACTTCCTCATTTCTTTTAGTTTGGCTCTACTTCTCTTTTCAAACAGATTTTAGTAGATCCTGTTATATAACTCACAGTTAATTTTAAGTTACTGCACATACAAGGTACGTTATCCTATTACATTTGGTAGACAGATTTTTAATTTAAATCAGCATTTAATAACAAATACATGTATTGTCAAATTTCTAGTGTACACAAAGCATTCCCTGGCTACGCCTTCAGACTCCCCATTCCTTTTTTTAAGGCACCAGGACTTCCGTGTAACTAATCACAACAAACTCTCCACCAAGTAGTCTACAATCCAGGGGGGTGAAGGAGATACAAAAAAGTTTTCTATATGATAATGTTTTTTTAAATGGATGCATGTATCAGAAGCAGAAAAAAAAATGCAATGGTGACAGAATACAGCAAACCAGGAAGGTCACCATCTAAAGCAGCAGATGCAGCTCATTTGCTGAACTATTAATACACAGCTACATGCAACCTCCCTTCCCCCAGGAATTTCCTGTATCCCAAGAGTAACTATGCTAAGAATTCACCAAAGAACTAAAGAGACGAAGAGGAAAATCTTAAAACAGGAGTAAATAGGAGTACTAGAATCCTAACAGATCACTTAATATCCTCCTGCCTTTGAGACATCTTTTAAGTTGTAACCTAATGGAAGCTTCCTTGTGGAGATTACTCAGCTTAAGCCCTGATATGTAAAATATACAAATTTACAGTGCAATGTGACAGCTGTTCATTAGAATAAATTTTGAAGACTAAAAAAAAAGGTACTGCTCCAAAATGGAGATAAATATTTTATCAACAATATAACCCACAATAAGATCAGATGAAAAAGTCTATTTTGTTTTCACCCTCTAAAAAAATGAGAGTTAATTTTATTTATGCCTGTGGAAGAGATGCCCTATCATGCAAGGGCAGTCTTCATTCAGACCTTGCTTTCAAAGACACTAAATTACAGCAGCTTTCTCACATCTGCTACAAATGCTTCCAGAATTACAGAATTCACAATTACTAGTTCTGATAATTTCGTTCCACCAGTTATACTGACATTCCAGGTAATGTAAGTTCTTCCTAGACAGTTGGAGGAAGAAAAAGTGTCATGATTAGCATGGAATAATCAGCAAAATTTGCTGTGGTCCAGAAATAACAGAACACTATGATGAATGTGAGAGCTATGGAGCAAAGCTTGGGCTAGGATTACCTGAACAATTCTGGAAGAGAATTTTTTAATGCAGTCAGGAATTCCAACATTCATTTAAGCATACATGGTGTATTATTGGTAAAAGAACAGTACTTATAAATGTGAAGATGAAAAATGGTCATTTTCGTATTTTTATCAAGTTGCAACAAATACAACAAAACAAATACACACAATGCATATGTACATTTTGTATAAACAGTATAGTTTGTCTAATTAATAACGTTTTACTTGTTGCAAAAAGCACACACCTCCTGCATCTGCCTCACTTAAGGCTTGTTTTTTTTCACAGAATAAATATTCTGTGAAGTGGATTGGACTTCATTGCAGAGGTCACTGATGAAATTGAAAACAGGGCAACATCCCCAGCCCACTTTAGGCCTAGTTCTCAGAGCAAAAATATACTGCAAAACATGAAGAGCAAAATGCTTCTTTTTCCAGTTTGACAATTCTATAATGTTTCCGTACAATAAAATTTGAAGCAATTTTTTAATCTAAATTTTTCATATTCTTGTCTCCACATAAGCAGCTCATTAGATGAACATAAAATTTCCATTCTTCATACTCCAACACAGCACAGCAGAAGAGTCAGAGTAGAAGAAAGAACATTTAAAATATTCAATATTCATTTATACTTATTCCACTCCTTTTAATGTCAAATTAACTTCAGTATAAAAAGCAACTTCAGTATAATGACCAACCCATATTCATAGCCATTTTAATGCTAAGAATCTTCTACTTAAGCAAATATAAGAAATACGTTAGGAAAATTTTCTGTATAAGCCGTATTTAGCATGCATTTGCACCTTACTTTTATTTATTGTAAGGTAAGATATTGAGAAATATGAATTCCTGTAAAATATTGTATTTTTTGTTGAATTGGACATTTTATTATTCTGATATACCAAACTGACAAACTCTATTGTAAAGACCATAACCATATGACAAATATATTAGATCTCAGAAGAGTTTGTTATCGTGCAGGTAAGCTGCATATCCTCACTAATTAGCCACATACTTCTACTTATGTCCTAAATTATCCAAGAGCACATATTAAAAAGTTGTTATTTATGCACTTGTGTGCTTTAATTAACTTAGCATTATTGAGACTTTCAGGTGCACATAGTCTTCTCAGCACATAGTCTGAATGCCATTTTGCAGTGCAACAAACAAATGGCGCAGAACACCAAAGTTTGCCACTTAAAACACATTCTGTTTACATTTTCATTGTCACTTGACATAACTGCTGAGAGCTTAAGATACTTTAGAAAAAACATCCTATAGACATTTAGCATGGGCCAACTAGGCTTGTATTTATATCCTCCAGGGTGTGGAGGGAAGAGGAAGGTCAGAAGCAAACTATGCAGTCAGCCACAGGAACTACCTGCCTCTGCGAAGAGCCCATCCCCTGCTGACCTCTCAGGGCAGCATCACCACAGACAAGCCTTTCAAATGCCAAAGTACGGTAAGAGCTTAGCCAATTCCACTTCATACCTTTCCTTCCCTCCAAATCTCTGTCACTTCCCCACTCAATCCTCCATCTTCCTCAGCAACACTTCAAATACTCTGAGCCTCCATCGTAGCCTCCCCTCTGGTTGCTCCACACACTTTTTTAACTTCCCACCACAGTTTCATTCCTTTCCCCCAATCAAATGTGTGACTGTATTTCCTGCTGCTCAGCCTGCCTCCCCAGGAATTAAATCCAGTGGAGCTAGTAGATGTGTCCAAATTAGACAGAAATAGCTAGAAATTTGAAAAGAAGCCATCTCCACGCACACACTGAGGTTCAGAACAATCCTGCATGAAGTAGAAGGTAACAGGTTTGTTCAAACTCTGAACGTACACTTAGAAAAACACATCGTACAGGCACCCAGGCCAGCTCTGGGTCAGCAGGCCGAGATACAGAATCAGCAGCAGCACCAAGCTCAGCACAGACGACCTGCGCAGGAACCAGCTGCAGGCAGCCAGCCTGAGCTGACACCCTTCCTCCTAACTACTCGGGATCCACGGCACTGACTAAGCCCAGATCATCTCACAGCCCAGGCTCAGAGCAAGATGCTCTGCCATCACTTCCAGTGCTCCTGAGCACCGCTGTCCTGCACACCATGATCGGTCCTAACACCTGACTGAATCCGTTGACTCCTGCTGTGCTCCAGCTGGACACTGGGCATGCGACTGCTGTACAGGCAGATGCTGGAACACGGGACAGCCTTTTCAAACCAGGCAGCGCTTGTTTCAGTCGGCTCAAACACAACGTAGCAGCCTGGGACGTAAGGGAAAGATTTTTTTTTTATATATATAGATTATTATACTGGCAGAACAATCTTCTCCTATCCCACCAATTCCAGCTTCACTCACACTGAATAAAGTCATTTAGGACTTCAAGCAAATAAAAGAATTTTTATTAAAATCTCTGTGCATAGAATGAAAGCACCAATTTCACTATAAGCGCATGGGTTAAAAAGCAGAAGAAACTGCACTTAGAAGCCTTCGAGCCCTTAACATTTTTGGTAAGCTTTTTATGCTTTACTGTGTAAGTTATTCTGTTTTCTTCTGTGCAGGTGCTAACCCAAAATTTCACATCTTTTCTTCAATTCTCCCATAGACAACATACTTGGCTTTAACATTTATTTCCACTATTTTGCATATAATAATTAGCATGGGTTATGTTGCATGCTCAAATCACAATATTTCTGAGTTATATAACAGCAGTTGTGATCTGACAGCACAGTCTGGCAAGCAGTATATTTAAAAATAGTTATGTTGTATTTAGAATAGTTATATTTTTACTCTATCCAATTATTATTTGAATATAATTCTATATACTCCTAAATACCTAAGAAATACATACAATTTAGTAAATACTCTACCAATATTTATACAAGACAAAAAAGCAGCAAAACAAGAAAGCGTTAAAAAAATGGCAGAGCCAATTGTTTTCTCTACTTCTTATTGGTCTATGCTTCTTATACAGTATAAATCGCTAAGCTTTTACTCAGTGAAAAGCTGTCAGTTTCCCAATGTGCTTAAAAATACAGTTGGCTTTAATATGCCACTGCTACAAGAGCGAGTTACAAATGACTTATCTGGAAACTAAGATCAGACACTGCAATATTTACATAATTAACGTCTGATCACTTCTGAACCTTCTGCAATTATTCTGCTGTGACTGATGAAAGTCATTTGGAAGAAAACTTCAAGTCACAAGAACGTTTGCAAAACCAAGCACTGCTTCAGATGGGCACCTGTGCCAGACTTCACTGCTGTCAGTCATCTTTGCAAACCCAATAGCAATACTGGCATAATATGATTCTCTTGTATTTTAAATCCTCAGACTAGGGTGAGTGAGGGTGCGGAAGGTGGAAGTCAGTATGGTTACCAGTGTATCTAAACTGTTTCCTGCTCTGCTAGGAACAAATGTATTGTGTATTATGGTGGTGAATATTATTACAAATAACATGTCATTTCAAGATCAGGAAGTGAAGCAGCTGCTGTGCAGAAACTAGACCAAAGAGGCTAAATATATCACATCTTTTGTGGGGCTACTAAACATTTACATTGTTTTACACTCTCACAGCAAAGATTTTCTTCCACCTAGCTCAAGCTTGCAAATGCAAAAGCAGGCTGGAGACAGCAGCTGTTTGCGCTCTGTCAACCAAGGTGTCAGTCAGGCGAGAGATCAGATTTTACACGATGCAAGTGGTTCAGGGAGATCTGAACATGACCTGTGCTCAAGGTGGTAGGAGCCAAGAGCAAGTTCATAGAAGCAGGCACCAAGCACAATACAGAGACACTGAGGAGAAGCTGAGAACAGACTTGGGATTTCTTATGTGCTCCCAATGTATTGGGAAAGTGAGGGATAAAACCCTTGGAAATAAAAAGGAACAATACAGTCCATTTAGAAATATTATTTCAGGATGCATTCATCTCCTATTCGTCTGAAAATGAGATGAAGGAAGAAGCAAGGCACCCTTAAAAAAAAAAAAAAAGAAAAATCTTGCTTGGGAGCAGCTTTAAAGATGAGGCTCTATGTCAGCTAAATATCAGCCTCAACCCTCACTGTCCTGTACCATCTTGCTACTGCAGCTGCATAAGCATCAGTGCTGCCAAACCAGCTGAAGAGCAAGACTGCAGTTCCACAGCATGGTCTGACCAAAGTGACAGGCTCAGCACCTACAAAAAGGGGCTGCCCCCACCGATTCTCTCCAGCCTGCTCCTGTTCGCGCTTTCCCTCCCCCAAATCCCAATTTTGAAGCACACCAATTTCAAACCAACTCTACTCAATTCACTAAAAACAGCACAAGACTAACTCAAGATGACAATATTCTGTGCTGGGTTAGTGAGCCGCACTGGCTTACTTTTTGTGATTATATAACATTCAGTTTGGCATAAGAGGAGGAAACAACCACATGGCTGACAGCTGCAAGAGGGAGAACAGAGAAAAACAAGAGCTCAGCATTTTAAAAGCAGAGGTCCCATCTTCACCCAGCCATCACATGAAGCCACAGCACAGTCTTTATATAGCATTGCATTCAAAGTAGTCCAGGCTATGCAATAATGAGCTTTAACAGATTTAAAATGTGCAAAAGAAAGCAGGACATGTGCTATTCTACGCACCACTCACAACCATCACTAGACAAACACTGCACTTCATGACGTAGCCTAATATAAGTTCACATTTCATCACCATGTTATTTCCAGCTCTGTAATTGGGTTAGACACTGTAAAACCATCCCACAAAGGACACTTACAATTCAGTTATAATCTGATTTGTCCACATTCAAGCATGCAAACCTCCACAGGTAAATTCTAAAATACTATTATTTAAAGCACGTTTAAAGAAATTTAAAAATTTATGGGCACCAATTTATGAAATAAAACTTTTGGCATGCTCAAAGCTGGCGATATCATGATTGGAGTGAAGACTGTCTAAGCACAACACTAATTACCACTTCGGTCAAGACAAACAGGCCACTTCTGCTAGGTTGTCCATAGCTGTGAGTTAAGAGCGTTCTGCCCTTTTTAGTGAACAGTGGCATTAAGTGTGGGTTGCCACACAGCATGGAAATGATGTAACTTTCCATTTAACCTGGAAAACAGAATGAAGAGTTTGGTGGGATACACAAAGGGGACATTGAGTCCTATGTCTTTTTGGGCCACATGTTTCAACCTAAAACCTATTGTGAACAACTTTCTCAATAGTATTTAGTTTCCCTTAAATTAAGAAAACACGAATATGCCTTTACATCTAACAGCTTAGACTGCCAAAAGACACAAGAATAATGAAAAGAAGCTGAAGCGATAAATTGTTATTTTCCATCTGGGACAACTGCTGTTTTAGGTTGTTCGTTGTAAAGAAAAATGTATTCATCAATTATTCTTAAAGGACATCTTGAAGGGATTACACTGAGTGGAATTTAACCAGGTAAACTGCTTACTACTCAAGTTCAACAGTCTGCTTTAACTACCGCCTATAAATTTTAATGTATAACAAATGGAAGTGAAAACAGGTCATTTACTATCATCATTATAGTACTTCAGAAAATGGTCATGGCAACAAACTGCTAAGAAAGTCTAATACAATGGATTTAAAGAATAGCAGACCCAAAACATCTACAATATATATTCAAAACTATGATCTGTAGGGCAAGCCAAAATATATCTCAAAAAAAAAAACCCTGAAATTTTAAATCAGAAATTGGTGTCTATTTCTAAATTTCCAATTTTCAAGAATTTATATTTAAGAGTGAGAATTTGTTTCATAATTCACTTAGTAGAGCAAAGACCATTATTTAAACCAAAGTAGTGACCTATGCTACATTCCCTGCTATCTCACAGCTTATTGAAGCCACTAATCACAGTTTAGGAAGCATGGAGACCAAGTATAAAGCTTCATATTTCTTTTAAAGATGAAATATTTACATGTAACAAAGTTACTGACCACATTCTCATGTTTGATGCATGGAATCTTTCTTGCAATATATGAAACAGAAAAAAATGAAGACTCCTTTCAAGCCTCTCACATGGGACACAGAAAAACCATTCAGCCACAGGCTATTACTACCGATTTGTTTTCCTACTATCTTCTGTAAGTTTATAATCTTTCATCTTGAAATTTTATTTCTTCACCTCATTTTACCCTAGAAAACTACTCCTAAGCTTGCTTTATTTAGATAGCTTCCTTTATATTATCATTCCAAATGTCCACTTTTATATCAGTATATATCAGTTGATATCAGTACTGATATCAGAATATCAGTATTATTCTTCAGCATACATAATCCCTCTCTCCAAACTATCTAGTACCTAAAAGACTTTTCCACCTTCTCTTTGGTCAAGCTCTGTTCCTTTCCTCTCAGTAAATCATTTCCACACAGTTTTCTTCCAAATCCTTTTCTGATCGTCCGAGCATCAAACAATGGGGTTCTGCCAAAACATTCTGTTATCAGATGTTATCCGAATAGCAATTAATTTCTTTATCCTTGAGAAGAGAAGGCTGAGGGGGCTCCATTCATGGTCTTGTAATTAGAGAGAAGATAGTGACACTACCTTCACAAGGATGCACAGAGACAGGACAAGAGGTAACAGACAAGTTGCTCAGGGGAAACTCCATCTGGATGCTGGAAAGAAAATTCTTCACCTGAGAACAATTGAGCTTTGGGAGAGATAATCCAGAGGAGTGGTGGAAACTCCCTCACTGGAAATATTCAGACTTGACACTGCCCTGGGCAGCCTAATCTAGGGTCCTACTTTCCTGACCTACTTGTTCCAACCTAAACTCTTCTACAATTTGACATTTCTATGTAGAGCTCTCTTCTTTCCATCATCCCTTCAAAATCCTACCTGAAGTCCATATGTCCCATTATGCTTTCAATCACTCTCTATCATAAGATGTATAAAAATACCGACAGTAAAATGAGACTTGCACTTTCTTCTCCAAAAGTTTTCTTTATTTGCAAGCACAACTCCTGGCACCTACCCTAAGTACTCAAGTATATTTAACTAAAAACCTCATTTTCATTTTGTAAGAGCTATTCATTAACACTACAAGATATTCCCACAAAAAAACCCACTTTTTTTTCCTTATTCTTCTATTCTACAGACTATCTGAATACAGAATGCCAAGAAAAAAAAATGTTTACAAAGCATAGCCCGTGTATATTTATATATATTTGGAGAATAAAAGAAGATTCTTGCTGCAACTTCATGTAGTCAAATTCTGTAAACACAGTTCAAATTCAAAGCACAAGCCTCCAATATTTCGTGAAAAAGCACTCATACAGTTAGCTTAAATGCAACACAATAAAATACAAAGTTAATTTTACAGAAGACAACACAAAGCATTTAAGCAAAGATATGCCAAAGTGACTCATCCAGTTCTACATACTGATTCTGGCAAAGCAACAGAAGATAACTGTCATCTAAATTTGTTTGTTGCTCAGCTCCTTCCATAAGATGTTTTTACCTGGAATAAGTCTGTGTAAATTCATTATATTATTATCTACTGGCTATATTATTCATCAATAACTGTCAATAAAACAACATTTGGCTTACAATGTCTACTTGTCCTAAAGCAAAACTTAGCGTTTCACATTTATAATTGTCTTGGAGACTGCCAGAGGTTTAAATGCCTTCAAGAAATCAAACTATACAAGTACTATTTTATTATCCTGACTAGGCAACATAGCTGTCTATTGTTTTTCAGGAAATAAAGCAAGATGTACAGTTCAGAGGATGCTTAGTGTACATTAAGAACAGCACACAGCATCAGTAATTTTACAGAGACAAAAGTATTCTAAACCCATAAAATAGAAACATCAGTTCTCTACAGTTTATATTGACAGTAGATTCTGGGGTAAGTCTTTTTAGTCAGCCATGCTCTCTGCTAGTAAGTCAAGCAGCTAAAGCTATTAGGCAGGAATTCTGCATTAAGACAAATCAATAATAAATGACAACTTACCAAGTTATGTGACTGGGGAAAAGCATGTTTTGTGAGGACTTCAAATATATCTCTTCTACTGTGCCCTTCTTGCTTTAGTGCAAACCTTAAGTTTCTCATATCCTAAAACAAAGACACCATCTTTTAAAAGCAGCACAGTAGTAAGGTACTTTTATTTGATGTATAAATGCTATTTTATATACTAAACATGATTTAGCATCTGCTGCAACACACTTTAAACTGCTGTGAATGGTCAGTTTTATCTTCCTACTCCATAAAATAGAAGAGAGCTTATGACTTTACAAATAGCTGCTTCACAAGCTGTGTAGTGAAAATACAGTTACACTGCTTTGATATTAACTCACCAGAAGTGACTACCTTATTTGCTAAGGTTTCATGGCCTATTGAACGATTGTGGAATGGGTCCCTGTTTCCAAAGTGAAACTTTGCTAATAATCTGACTAGACTACATTGCCTTTTTTTTTTTTTTTGAAGTTAGTAAAGAGAAAATAACTAGGGAAAATGTGTACATTCACTACTGAGAGTAAACAGGCTGTGCACATATATGCCATTGAAGAGTCAAAGGCAGGACCCTGGATTATTCAGCGGGAACTGTCCCCATAACTATACTTTTTTTCATCACATTTCTTTTCTTAGACTAGAAGAAAAATGAAGACAGAGGTTACATTAACTTTTTACTATCTTTTCAGCTTGCAAAAGTCCCTGACTCCTTTAAGCATTGGTTGGCTCTTCAAAGATTTAAGGTTTATAAAAGCAATAAAATTTATGCAGAACCAATAAAATAAATGAAGTAGTGCAGGAATAATGCCAGTTTATTTTTCCCCAGCCCAGTTCTCAAACCAGGCTTCTGTGCAAAATGACCTGCCATTCATCAATTAGAGAAATATCAATCCTTCTCTGAACACTTGCACAGAGATGATGGTATGCAGCGCAGCCCTTCATGCAAAAGGCACTTCCCTTCCAGTTCCAAAAGGTTCTTTTCAAATTCAGCTGTGAGGAGTGCATGGTTTTTCATTCCTATAAATGGGTGAGCAGTGAGAAAAACAGCACACACATAAACCTTTCTATTGAATTAAAGCCAAGTCTTACTTTACACGTTATATCTAATCCATAAGAATTCTCTCCTCTGCTTGAGGCACCTCCCATTTTTTCAATCCTTGAAATTACACCCAAAGGAACATTCAACACCACAACAGGGTCCTGCAAGGAAAATTCAGGTAAGGAAAGGATTAATCTGAAAAGGAACTCGGACTCTTATGTTTTCTACAATAGAAAGCTGACATGAAAATACAGAAAACAAAGGAGTGTTTCTGGATTTGACAGAGTCTTCCCTCTCAACATGTTGAGAGAGTTTGCAATCTGCAGGTTTGAAGAGTTTTACATGCACCAAACCACAAACGTTTTATGCCAAAAACAGTTGGTAGGAAAATAAAAAAGGTGAAAAAACTCTAAAAGATGAATTCTGTTATACTTCTGACTTCCTTCGCTTGCTTTATCGATACACAGAATAAAGCAGAGCAAAATTAAAAGGGAAGATTACTTTAAGAGTCAGTTGCCAGCAAAATGATCTTAGTTCAGTAATCTTAAACCTTTTTTTCCTCCTTTAAGCAAATTAAAGGGTCAACAGCTCATTTTAGTCTTTCATAGCACAGCTTATCAAACACTACCCTTCCCCCAAGCCCACATCAGAATCTTGCTTTACCAACAGTCATCTAAAACTATTTGTATTTGAAAAGCTATTGTGACTATCCCTAGACTAGCCCTTGACCAATCACAGAATAAGTGTAAATGGAATAGCTATCAAGAAGCTCCAAAAGAAAGAAGCATCATCAGCTCATCAGTGATTAAACTGTAGTTTTACAGCACAAAATTTTTATATTTAAGCACATACAACTTTAAAGAACTTCCATTTTATAAGGATTTCTCAGTGGCACAGGGGCAAGTGCTATTTAGTCATTACACAATTAAGATATTATTACAAATATTACAGACCATTTCGAGTAAAAACGCTCCCATGCAATTCCCAAAGTATATTTCTGCATAATCTAAGACATAAATGAACTGACCACAAAGTAGATAAAATGCAGCAATAAGATGGGGGAATATTAATTCATCCTATGGAAGCAACTGGGGACACATTGCTCACCGTTTCCACACTTCTTAGGTACAGTCTGTAGTTCGTGATGTACACTCGTCCTTTAACAGGGCCATTGAACGGACACATATAAATTACATCCTTGTCTGTAAAGAAATACAGCATTTCTTCAACATTATGAAAAGAAAAATCAGGTTTAAGGACAACAATTAAGCAGCAGTAAAATAAAGCTAACTACACACTTAAGAATCACTCTAAAATTGAAAGCAAGTATAAAATTGAATTTTGTGCATTTGAACTGAGAAAACGTGGACATTTCAAACACTAAACTTGCTTAAACTCTCCCACTTGACTTCAGTGGGCTTCCTAGTTACATTTGCTTTCTTCTCTTTCTTGTCACTATGTGTGGGAGGGTGGGACACAGTACAGCAATTTAAATGCTCCCTGGAATTATTGGTCTGCACCATTTAATAACCCAGAACAAATGCAAACTTTTGTTGCTATCATTACTTCTTTTAGCACTCTGCAGCCAGTTCTCCTGCATTAAAGCATAGTTCAGGGTGCTTTTTTTTTTTTTAATGGCACTCTCTATCCTGAAAAGAATCACTAAATTTCAATTTTTCAACCTTTCAGCTATGTTCTATAAACAAGCTTCCATGAGTGAAAGCTCCATTCCAGGAAAAGCCTCAACCAAAGAGGGAAGCACTGCTCACCATACATTAATCTTCCCTGTGCTACAGCATTAATACATGTCAAGGCTGCCAAGTGCACAGTGGTTAAGTGCCTGTCATGTTGTCTAAAGGAAGCATGAGATTGCACCTAGTAGAGCTACAGTTTGGGCTACAGTTACACATTACTGTGCAAGAGATCAAGGCATAGTGTGTGGCATGTTGCACTTTTGAATTCCAAAAGATTTGAGGGAATCATGTCACTAGACACTAGCTACTGTACATAGGGTTATCACACATCTTGACCTGGCATTTCTTTGTACTGCAGAATCTATGCACGAAAGTCAAGAATTTAAATTTTCTAAAGGAGTTATTTGAAATACATGGATTTTTTAACAAATCTTACCGCTCTGCCCAATACCAAATTATTACATAGTCCAGTAAGACACATGTATGCCAGACTTCTTCAACATATGCTGCACTGTATAATTTCCTACCTGTAACTCTAGTTTCTCCTGGCAGCCGAGGTATTTCCTCATTTTGTTCCCAGTTAGTTCCATCTTTTAGAGTCTAAAGAGAAAGAGGTACAACAGTAGAAAATGTTTTACTTGCAAGTGCTTTAAGCTCCAGACAGAATAATCTTGAAGGGAATGTCAGTATGTGAAAGACCAGGCTTGTCCACGGCAGAAACAGACATATGAAATCAATGGAGGAAAAAACACTCTCCTAAACTGCAATTATTAAATATTAAACATTGAATAAAGCTGAAACATGAGCACATTTTAATTTCTCTCCTTCCTACAGGATAATTAAGTTGCATTAAATTGGAATTAAATTTATATACCACAAGTTCTAGAAAAGTTTTGTATATTACATTTTCCTGGAAAAAAGGTTGTTCATCTTAGAAAAGCAAATCAAATGAAATCATTTGAGCAATACATTCACAACCACCATAACATTTACTTTTGTGATTTTAGCATGTTTAGTACTTTTTAAAAAAGGACTAAAAATGCTAATCTTGGTTTTTAAGAACTGTTTTAAAAATATTTAACCTTTAGCATCTGCTCTGGCACACAGGTGGCATTTTACTTTGCCTCGCAGCAGCCCAAAGCACAGATTAATCTTTTAGCTGGCTTTAAGGTGAATACTCCCCCTACACTGGGCCAGCCACACAACTAGATAAAACTCAGCCGCAGTACATAACTTTAGCCTAGCTTTGCCAAAATTGCAGAGCAGCTACGGAAAATTTTAATGTAGAAAACAATAAGAACAGATATTAAAACTGATTTCATAACATGATTATTTCTCTCAAGCACATTGAAATATATTAAACTTCCTTGGTCGACGGTATTTGAATTTTTGCAATATAAGTAAATGCTCACAATCAAGAAAAGCACCATCCAAAAATACCCAGTTTGGACGCAAATATGAAAGGTAATAATCTCTGCAACATTCTGTTTAAAAACATGAAAAATGTGTTACACTCACCCTTTTAATTGAGGAGCTCTCCAAAGAGTTTGAATTATATTTAGGTGTTGATGATGAAGCCATAATGGGTATCTAATAAGAAAGCACAAATTGGGGAATTAAAACTTCCACTTGAACTACATACTGCTTACAGGAGAGGTTTAGACACTGAAAGCTGTAGGTACACACCAAAAGCTTGCGAGAATATTCTGCAAGGTGGCATCAATTAAAAAAGACTACATGACTGCAGCTCAGGCTTTGGTTCTTACATAGAATAATGTAACTCTAGGTATATTTTATAATTCAGTTTGAATACTATTGCTAGTCAGGCCAACAAAAAGTACAGTGCTTGTTTTTAAGTGATGGGATATACACACTAGGAAACTCAGCCTACTTGGAGCATTTGTATTAAAAATTCTCATTAGGGAAAATGGAACAGACCGTACAATTATTATATAGCTCTTGGAAGTCACAAAAATCTCAATCTATTCAAGTGTTTTAGGAATATTTAGGAAAAAAGGGGGGGGGAGGGGTGAAGAAACAAGAGGTCTGCATACCTGTGCATTTAAGCTCCCTCCTTTCTTTCCCCGTCCCCTCTACTTCCTAAACTGGAGCTTCAGAGAACGCACCAGGAGGGGGAGCGCGCTGCCTGCCGCGCTGCGCAGCCTTGGTGCGCTTCAACAAAAAGGCTCTTTTTAGATTCCTTTTTTTTTATATATATATATATATATAATGGTACTGACTAAGGACAGAAATGCGTGACTCAGAATTAACCTTTTAAAGCATTTCCTAGTATTGCACATGGAAAAAATTAATATTCCCAGTCCAGACAGCACCTCTGTAGCAACCTCCCTTTCACCATTTCCACACCCTTCACAAAGCCGCGCGGACTCGGTGCTGCTGCTTGGAGGGGTCTGTGTTGTGACCCCAAAGGCACAGAGCAGCCTTGTCGGGCGCAGAAAAAAAATATATATTTTCTATGCCAGGGATGGAAAGCAGTTTTACTAGAGCCACAGAGACTGCACAAGCACCAGGGGCCACAGTGTCCTGGGCTGTACCGGGCACTGAAGCGAGGCAGCGGTTACAGCCCTCCACCCGGCACTTCGGAGACGGGAGCTTTTCCCCGTGACAGTCAAGCAGTGAAAGAGAGGCCCAGGGAAGCTCTGCAGTCGCCATGCTCAGACGCTCTCAAAACCCAGATGAGCAAAAGCTCTGAGCAACCCGGCCTGAACTCAGAGCTGACCCTGCTTCCAGAAAGAGGCCAAACTAGAGACTTCCCTGAGTCCCGTCCAGCCTTCGGGCAACAGATAAGATCAAGTTCTCATTTTAAATAACTGACAATCAAGGATGTACCTTCAGAGAGGTGGCTTCCTTTCAATAAAAGGAGCAAATATTTTCAAAAACTGCTTTTAAAATGAACATTAAATATTTCCTTTTATAATATTATTTTTCTGACAAATTGTAGAGCAGTGTCTGGCAACCTGCCAAGGTGATATTGCCAAGAACAATCCAAAGGCATCTTTCATCACAGGCTTAAAATAGCTGCAACTTTCTCATTATTATGGAGCAGCAGTCGTCCTTCCACAGACAGAAAAGAAAAATCTTGCAAGTTATTTTCCACTGTAAACGCATTTTATTCCCCTCTACCAGCCCTATAGACTTACACTGAGTGAAGACCACACAAACCTCAAGGCTTCCCAGCCCTGGAACAGAGTACAATTATGCCACAAAAGCCTAAAACAAGTCATACAACTTTGCTTATAATACTCTGCAGTTACAAATAGTTGAACACTTTTCCTTCATGTAGAGTAACAAGAAGTTACTCTACTGAGTTTTTTTGGGTTTAACTTGAACTAATAAACAAAGCTTTGTTAAAGTTATCAGAACTTAATATAGTAACACTACCAAGAAATGCAGGCTCCAATGATCTTAGAATAACAATTAAAACGAATTACTTGGGACCTGCATTTGCCTTTATTTTAAAAATGATATTTATACTTGGGCTTCCTAGGATTCATGGGAATGGAGTCACAACAATATTGGAAAGCTGGGCACCACGAGGCAGATTTTTAAAGAGGCAATTCAAGGATTCCATCAATTCTTAAAAAGAAATGCATGTGTACATAAAGATCTGTGCGAATTTTAAAAGTTGTCAAAAAGCTTTTGAGAATTAAGAAACCAGAAATGACTAGCTAATCCTCCTTTAAGGTTCTTCACTGCCAACACACCAAGAGCAACAAGAGCCACCACTCATTTCTGTAGCTCCTGTCATGCTACCTACCATCTTCAGAGATGCACAAGGTGAGAGAAAGAGCAAAGGGAAACAGGGAGGAAGCTCTGTCAATGCATCCATCATCAAGCTCAGAAAGTCCCTGGCATCCTAATTTCTCCTTCAAGATAGATGCACCTTGGAAGACCAAACAATGCTTGTAAGCCTTGCAAACCACAGCAGCCTGAGGAATCTAGTCCGGTGTGTTCAGGATTCAGGAAGGAATTAATCCTCACTTGACATTTTGGTGAGCCTTCTAAGGTGTCTTCACCCCAAAACTGCACCAAGCATCCTGTAACCATTGTACCACTCAGCCTTCCTTATGCCAACTTAAATCTTTACAGGCACAAACATCAGTACATGCCAAAAAGACACCAACATCAAAAAAATCTGAGATCAACTAAACAGCATCAAGTAAATAGCTGTGAGCACCACTTTCCAGGCACTTAATACTCTTGATCCTCCATCACTGAATTTATTAAAGAGTCATGAAAAAATGTCTTTTAACATTGTGCCTATCCATCATTTGATTCAACAACAACTCTGAAATTGTTTAATGTAAAAGAAAATATTTCATTTTATATAGTCTATAGTTTTCAATATATTAACCTGAAAAGAATGAGAAAATGAAACTGCTAAGTTATTACACACAAAAGAATCTGAGTAAAAGTGCAAAAGCACCACAGGCATAGTTGAGCTAGTTATTATATACCTAAGGGCAACTGGAGACGGATGAGCTTTTTTGTTTTGGTTGGGGAGGGGGGTACCAGATTTATCAATACAGTGAAGAAAAGCAAATACGCAGTGCACATCCTCTAAAAGCATTCTGATTGCTGCGTCACATCTGTTACACGACATGAGGTAATGTCAGTTCTCATTATCCTGCTCCGGATAACAATTTGTGCAAAAATCCATTCACCTCCAAAGCTTCTAAAAATATGGATGCGAAATATACTCTACCTCCCTTCACTATTCAGCTTGGAAAGTATTCAGGAAGCAAACGGAGCACTTTTGAAAAAGTGATATTTACAATTGGACTATTTAGTTCTTGAAGGAGATCGGGTCCTTAGATTATTCATTCAAGATCTGCAATTCACCTGCTGGTATAGACAAAAGTGAAGTCATTTTCATAGTTATACTCTATACCAAATCATAAACTGTTTCAAAGAGAGAAGAATATTAGATATGTAAACAAATTTTCACTGTATTTGAGAGGCAAGAGAAGGTTAGTGCAATTAGATGTAAGAAGCTGCTCATGCCGACTCAAACAAAGTGAAAAAGCAGATTTACAGCAAGGTATGCCAGCATTGCTACACCAAATGAAGATCTCTAACCTTTGTATAAGGACCTTCGGAGACAGTATAAAAACACTGCCTTGTGTTTCCTCAATAAAGTTAAAAGCATGAAATAAGGTCAAAGTCCTTAAAAAAGGAAAAAGTCAGCCCTATAACTACATAGAACAGAAAACAATACATAGGTTTTCAGAAATAATATGCAGAATAACCCTAGGAATATGAAAGTCAAAGTTTGGGGGGGGGGCGGGGCTAGGGAGGAAGAGGGCAGGAAGGGAACATAAATCCTGAAAAAAAAAAATAAAGCAACAGTCCTAAAGGGTCATGCTAGCAACAGCAACTAAGATGCCAGGTAGTCACTGCAATAAGCATCTCTAGCACTACTGTCTAATCTAATGAAGTCAACAATAGTCATTCATGTCATTAAAGATTAATAAATTTTAGAACTAGAGATAAAAATACACCGGGATACCAAGTAAGTCACAAGGAAGCTCTATTTCACAAGCAACGAAGGCGGTTTTGCTGGCATCAACCACCCCAAACCGATCAGTGCCAGTCAGCCGAGAGGGCGCACAGGGAGATCAGAGGGCCCTCACCAGCCAAACAGCTCTGCAGAAATAAACATATCTTTTATGTGACGAGTTTCTCTGTGTTTTAGCATAGAGAAACTGCATTTGACAACTGAAAGACAGGGTAGCAGAAATCTTCAAAGCTTAAAAAAAGTCAAGAAAGATAAGTATACAATGTAAAGCAGAGTACTGCAATATCAAAATAGGCATCAGGTGTATGTATGTCCCCAGGGGGAAGGGGGAGAAGAGAGAGGCTCCCTGCAACACTGAAAGATGCCAATCTAGATTGTTATTTATAACAAAAACTCAATGTTTACATCATAATTTGCTCACAATCTACAAACAACTGACATTTAGTTAACTTAAAAAATTAGATTTTAACATTTGAAAGTCATGCAGTAGTGACATCAAAAACAGGCTTAGCGCAGTGCTCATTCACATGATTACTTGTGGCCAGCAGCACTTACTTGTTACATAATTGGGAGCAAGAAAAAATAAAGGTTCATATAACACACGGAAAAATCAACATGTCTGAGATCTAAGCACCATGTGAACAGGAAGAAGCTCAAATCACTTAATAGAGCTTTTTTCTTTTTTTTTCCCTCTTCTGTAAGAGTTCAAGGACAAATTACACCCATGATGTACAAAGGGGATTTGTTGCTGCAGATCAAATCATAGGCTTCTACCTACACTTTTTATAAACTGTATCTTTGGAGTCAATACAGATTACTAGACCATATGATCTCCTGTTCCTACTTTACCATCAGTTATAGAGACACAAAAACCTTTCAAGTGCAACCTCTCAGTAATAAATTCTGCTGCTTCTGCATTCCCCCAAGTGGAAGCTCACGTTTCTATTGATTCTGGACTTGATTATGCCACTGATGGTTCTTCTCCCCTTCATGTCCGAATCGTGTTCCCCTACCTGTGTGGACCTCCTTACCCACATTGTCTGGGGAAGAAGACAACTTGAAA